GCACGAACCCGTGTCCCCTGCATTGGCAGGCGGACTCAACCACTGCGCCACCAGGGAAGCCCCTAAAAAATTTTAATGTCTTTACTTCTAAAGTCATTTTATAAATTAAAGTATATGGGAATATTTGTTGTGTGGTAGTAGGAAAAGGATAAGGGTAATCAGAAACAGTGGTTACCACTAGAGAGTGGAGCTAAGAAAGAGTATGAAGATTTACTTTTTCATTATGTAACCTTTTATCCTTTTTGAATTTTCTTCCATAGGCACACTTATCTATTCAAAAATATTTTAAAATACAATCTTTTTAATGATTTTAAATAAAAATTACAAACTGTGTTAATATTTCCTACTACTTATTTTTCCTTTAAAAGTTAGTCATCGGTGGTACCCTCTTCTAATGGCCCAAAATTGCTATGACAACATTAACAATTAGCATGGAATGCTCTATAGAGCCCCAAATGGGTTTTGACCAATCAGTTATTGTACAGTTTGAGACTAAATTTAAGATTAGTGCATCTGAAATAAAATTTTCTGAAGAAATGCCGTTTTACTTGTTTTACATATAGCTCACCCAAAGTAGTCAACAGTTATCAAGTGGAATTGCATTTAAACCTGTTTTAATAAATAGCAAATTTTTTTTTTTGCCAATCCTTTGTCATTAGTGTGTTGTACAGCCTTATATTAGCTATGTTCTCTCTTTGGTTTAAGTTGCCATTGCCCCAAATGGAGCCTTACAGCTGGCCAGTCCAGGCACAGATGGAGTACAGGGGCTTCAGACATTAACCATGACAAATTCAGGCAGTACTCAACAAGGTACAACAATTCTCCAGTATGCACAGACCTCTGATGGACAGCAAATACTTGTGCCCAGCAACCAGGTGGTTGTACAAAGTAAGTTTGCTTAAGAATCTATGGAAAGCATCACAAAGTACTTTCAAAGACATTTATAAATTAACTCATTCTTTTGACCACACAGCTGCATCAGGAGATATGCAGACATATCAGATCCGTACCACACCTTCAGCTGCTTCGCTACCACAAACCGTGGTGATGACATCTCCCGTAACCCTTACATCTCAGACAACTAAGACAGACGACCCCCAACTGAAAAGAGAAATAAGGTTGATGAAAAATAGGTAGGTAGTAAAATTATACTATCAGAATGGGTGATGTTTTTATAAATCTCAAAATATAACCAGATATTAACTGAGATTGTATATTAGAAACAAGGAGAGGGGATTATATCAACATTATTTTAAGAGTTTTAGATTATGTCTAGTACATTTCCAGTGGATCAGTGAGTCCCTTTGCATAGTTTCTTTATTTAATATATGACCTAGAGTTCTTCCATTTTTATTGTGTCCTTTGAATAGCACTGTTAAGCAAAACTTTTCAAACAATATATTTTGTTCTTATTCAGATGACAAAGTTAAGTGAAAATAATAATTTGCTGCTTGCTGTTGACCAGAGTAAGAATAGGCAAGAATTAGTAGGATTCTGCATAATACCTAATATACTTCTGGATACAGAATTGCTCTTAAAAATGAATTTTGATCATGAAATAGAGTAGTCATTTAACCCCCAGAAACATTTGTTTGTTTTAAATGTATTTTAAACATTGCTATATGCACTACATATACATCAGGCATTAAAAATCACTAGTTCTTTGAGAAAAAGAATATGATGGGTAGCCTTCTGCAGTGTGTTCAAGGGAAAAGAAAAGACACCAGTAAACTATATTAGAAACAAAAAAGGGTAAATAGCCAGAGATACAACAAATTTTTAAAATTATAATAAGGTTCTATTTTCAGGTCCTCTCCAATAAGTTAGAAAATTAGAATAAAGGATAATTTTCTAGAGCAATAAAAATTACCATAAAAGGACCAGATGGATACATTTAATTACTTCAAGATAAAATGTTTCTTTACTAAAAACAAGAGGAAGCATCACTGTAAATGACTTGGTAACAAGGCAGGGACCATCTGTTGTTTTGGAGGTTCCAACAAATACAAGTAAATGAAGTAAGTTATGTAAATTATTAGAAAAGAATTGTATCTTGTTGCTGATGATATGATTGTGTACCTAGGAATCCCAAAAGACTTGTTAAAAATTACTAGAGTGTGACTTCTCTTTCTGACAATGTAACCTCAGCTACATAATAAAAGCTTGATGAAATATAAAAACCATCCTTTTAAATGACTGGATGAGCATGCAGAAAGTAAGAGAAATCTATTGAGGTTATTAGATGTGCGAACCAGAAGCCCAGGACCATAATGTTAAATAAGCACTTAAGCAGCCCCTGTATATCCTAGGGATAAGTTCAGATCTTTGTAATTGGTACAGCTTTGGTATGCAGAGGGGACTCGGGCCAGAGCCTGGGGCCTCTGCAGGCTGGAGAACTGGATCACAGATTATTTTTCATGAGGTCAAGACCCAAGAAGTACTACATCCATAAGCTGAGAATATTGTAACTTAAAACATTAGTGCCCCCAACTGGAGAAAGCAGCTTCAACACAGGCTCTAATGAATTCCCATACATTGAGTTCTAAGAAATATAAGTTGAAAAATCAGACTACCCAAGGAATTAGGCCTCCATTATATGTGCCAAGCGCTTAGGCAACTGTCACAAAAAATTATTTCCATTTTTTTGAGATGAGGAAACTGAGGCCTAGAGAAGTTAAGTTACTTGACCAAGGTTACACTGCCTAGTAACTGATAGAGGTAGGGTTTAAATTCATGGGTCCAAGTTTAGAGTCCAGAGTCTTAGGGAATCCCACACTGCCTTTCAGGAGCAAGAGTTAGCAGAAAGAGCAGACGACAGAATGAGTTTTGTGAAGTCTTCAGTAATCTAGTGGAGAGAGGGAAAGAAGTATGTCTTTTGTATTTAAAAAAAAGGATGTCATTGTAAATCATCAAAGCTCAAGAGACTATAAAAATGATAAAAATTGGAGAGGAAAAATAAAACTATTATTATTAGCAAAGATATATTCATCTGCTTAAAATATCCAGGGAGATCATCTGCAAACTATTTGAAATTGAAAAAGAACCCATTCTTTTCAACATTTGTACCAGAAGCCCATGCCAGTTTAGTAAAACAGGAAAAGGAAGGGGAAATTACAAGGATTTAAATGAAAAAAATAGAAACTATTACTATCTTTTATATGATTGCTTGATTGATTTAAAAAAAAACAAACCAAATGGACTTAGAGAAAAATTATTGTAAGTATTGAGTTTACTAGATTTAAAATCAGTTTAGAGAAAAATTATTTTAAGTAATGAGTTTACTAGATACAAAATCAGTTTTCAAAAATCAACTGTAGGGCTTCCCTGGTGGCGCAGTGGTTGAGAGTCCGCCTGCCGATGCAGGGGACGTGGGTT